ACCACATCTCGTGCCTTCAAAATCTCGTGTGGATTCTTCACATCTACCAGTCTATAGCCTTTTGAGGTTTCACAATACCCTACCATTATGTACTGACTTGATTTTGGGTAAAATTTCTGCCTTTTTTGCTTGGAAATGTGTACTTGACCTTTGCTACCAAGGATCTTCAAATGGGATAAGTGGATTCTTTCTTTCATTCAAATTTCTCCGGGCACCGCTTCATTCACAGCAGCAGTAGGTGATCTATATTTCAAGTAGATGGCAGTATTCATGGCCTCAGCCCAATATTTCTTATAAATCTAGTTTTCTCCACCAGAGTTCTGTTTCTTCTTTCCGCCACTCCATTTTGCTGTGGAGAATACGGAATAGTTGTTTGATGCACTATGCCATGGATTTTCAGGAAATTTTCAAAATTGTAGCTCACATATTCTGAACCATTATCACTTCTGAGACATTTTATTTTTCTCCCTGTTTGGTTTTCTACTAAGGCTTTGAAGTCTTGAGATCTGGACAAGACTCAACTTTTGTTTTTAACATGTAACCATACACTTTTCTGCTAAAGTCATCTACAAAAATTAGGGTATACCTAGATCCACCCCATGAACATTATTCTATAGGTCCGGCTATATCTGTATGAACCAGCTCCAATATGTTATTTGCCCTTTTTGCACTTCTAGTTGGAAATTTCTTGACAGTCTGCTTCCCTTCAAGACACTGTATGCATGGCTCGCAATTTTCTTCATTAAATTTCAATCCAGTAACCAAACCATTTTTCAACATTCTCATGCCTCTTCTGTTTAGATGGCCTGAACGTTTATGCCAGGGCATGTGATTGGAAGAAATTGTAGAAAAAAACCCTCACTGGTTCCTTGTCACAGTCATCAGCAATATACAGGGTGTTTCTTAAGTACGTGTAGAAAATTCAGGAGCATGTTGCTGACGTCAAAATAAGAAGAAAAGTTCGTATAAATATATGTCCGAAAGTTATTCGTTTCTGAGATACAGAGTGTCAAAATTGAATTCTTATGATTGTTTTTTGTTAATAAATTTCAAAATAATCGTGATATCGGAATGAAATTTGGTGGTAATTTCCAATGACAATATCGAATTTTATTTGAGTTTATCTCTTTCGTGGGGATGGCGCCACATACATGTCTTTTGAGTCTCTTGAAATGTTATAACTTTTTTGTGCGCACCTGTATACCGTTTCATAGTAGACAAATAGACTTCTAGAGCACTTTTGTGTAAAAAATATATTCTTGGTAGAGGTCGCTGCGAGCAACTATTTTCGAGTTATTGGGATTCGAAATAATCGATGCATTTGAATTATTTCCATGTGGCTCGTAAGTCGCCTCTAGTGAATATTAGAAAAGATATGCCAGTGCATTTTTCTTCTATCATTCAATATTCTCCTACATTCAACATTGAAATGTGGGCAAAATATGATTCTTACTTCTTTGTACCTACTTTTCGGACTCTTCCAATTTAACAAAATAAGAATCAAGTGAGTACTTGTCATGTTATTTCAATCCGTTCTTGAGATAATGAAGATTGTTGTCTTCTCTACTTGTGATCCAAGCTTTCTCAACTAACTGTTTTAGTATCAATTTGGTCTTAATTACTGTTATCATTATCAGTATCAAATTGTAATAACACCCGATTCATATTTTCAAATGAAATCAAAGAAAAATAATTTCTCTTACTCAATGAATCAATTTTGAATTCCAACTTCTTGTCATTCCAAATTACATGCATTGATTATTTCAATTCCCAATAACTCGAAAACAGTTGCTCGCAGCGAACTCTACCAGGAATATATTTTGTACACAAAAGTGTTCTAGAAATCTATTTTCACTAATAGCACTAATGAGAACTACCCTAAAGAATTTAAAAAACTTCTTCTGACAGTTGTGACAACTATTCAAAGCTGAACAGCAGCCAAGTTTTGGTAGATTTTTGTTGATTCTCTATGGAAATGTATGTGGTAGTGGCAAAGTGCCGCGAGAAAAAATATTTCTCACAGTATGGGCAATACATGGTTTTGAAGCTAAGTGAGATATGAGAAATGCGCAACTTTTCTTAGCAGTAGTAGAAAGAGTTCTTATAAACATATGTCCGAAAGTTATCCGTTTCTGAGATACAGAGTGTCAAAGTTGAATTCTTATTGGAAGAGTTCAAAAAAGCAGGTACAAATAAGTAAGAATCATATTTTGCCTACATTCCAATGTTGAATGAAGAAGAATATCGAATGAAAGAAGAAAAATGCACTGGCGTATCTTATCTGATATTCACTCTAGAGGTGACTTACGAGCCACATGGAAATAATTCAAATGCATCGATTATTTTGAATTCCAATAACTCGAAAATAGTTGCACGCAACGGCCCCTACCAAGAATATATTATTTTTTACACAAAAGTGTTCTAGAAATCTATTTTTTTACTATGAAACGTTATACAGGTACGCACAAAAAAGCTATAACTTTTCAAAAGACTCAAAAGGCATGTAGGTGGCGCCACTCCCACGAAAGAGACAAACTAACAAAAAATGTTATATTGTCATTGAAAAATACCCATAGATGCTAAATTTCATTCCAATATCATTATTATTTTGAAATTTATCAACAAAAAAACAAAAATAAGAATTCAACTTTGACACGCTGTATCTCAGTAACGGATAATATCCGGACATATGTTTACACGAACTTTTCTTCTCATTATCACGTCATCAACATGCTCCTAAATTTCCTACACGTACTCATGAAACACCCTGTATAATCAATTCTTTAAGCTTTAAGCCAGTAAATTCTACCTGATTGTATGAAATTGTGGAAAAAAAAACCCTCACTGGTTCCTTGTCAGATTTATCAGCAATATATAATACATCTTTAAGCTTTAAGCCGGTAAATTCTACCACCTCTCCCTTTATTTGACAATTAGATTCCTTGTAGATTTTACAGCTGAGCCTATCAAACACAACTACAAACACTTTTTCATTTATTTTGTTTACTGATAGAAGATTTGCAGAAATACTTGGTATCACATCTGTTACAGTTTTTGTGACAACATTTCCATTTTGATAAAGATTTATTGTCACAGCTCCGGTTCCTGTCGACTTAATTTTCTCACCGTTAGCTACTGAGATATTATTCAACTCTATGGTATTAACATTTTCCATCCAATCTTTTTTCATGGATTTATGGGATGTAGCACCTGAGTCTTTTATCCAGTCAGAAGTCGAAGTTGTGCCGTACAGTGCAGTTGTCAGTAGTGTCTGATCATTGCTTTTCTTTTGGGTTTAGAGACCATAAGATTTATAACAATTTTCTTGACTCCGTTTAGGACATTCTGGCTTCTTGTGTCCTTTTTCCCCACAAGAATAACATTTGATTTTTTTCTTGGATATCTTCCTAAATGGTTTCTTTGAGTGTAATGATGCCTCACCTTTATCTGTTTGTTCATGAGATTTCTTTCTTGCATCTTCTTCTATAAGCTTAGCTTTCACTTCATCTTATGGGAGTTTAGTGTATTATTGTACGTTAGGGCCATAACTAAAGGCTCATACTCTTGATTCAGTTCAATTGAACATTAATAAACTAACAAAATCATCAACTATGGTGTTACCAATGTCTGCTAGTTTGAAAACTGTAGACATAATATCACTGATATATTCCTCCATCGAAGTAAACTCATTGCATTTTAATCTGAACAAATGTCGTTGTATATCAAATCTTCTGTTCATATTCTTGGATTCAAAAGCTTTTTGCGAATCAGTCCATGCTTCCTTGGATGTCGTGGACTTGCAAACGTGCACATAACAGGTAGGTTCTACACTCAAATCAATTTTAGCTAATGCTTTATTGTCCCTTTCTCTTTCCACCGAATTCTAAGGATCGAAACCATTGATCACAATGTCCCACAAACCTTCCAACATCAAGTTCATCTTCATGGCAAATTTCCGAGATATATAGTTAGCATGCCCCTCTAGTTTATCTTTAGGGTATGATGTTGAGAGGTGGTTGAAAATGTTTAAAAAATTGATTTTCAAAAAAAAAACGACTTATCCAACGCCTTTTAAAAACATATTTCAAGTATGGATATACGGATTTTTTTCAATCGTAGGTTCCCACACTGATTATTCAGGGTGTTCTGTTGGGAAACTGAAATACTTTAACGGTGGATAGAGGTGACCAAGGTGGTTCTGAATATACCACATATGTAGGGTGTTTTATCAATTTTTGTCATTTCTTTGAAGGCTCATAGTATACGAACCACCTGGTATATTATTATTATTCAATATATTATTGGGTCCTCGAAAAAACACCCTGTATGTTTGAGTTTACAAAATCTGTTACACCGAGTTAATAAGATCCATCAGTTTCTAGTAGGTAAGTGAAATTATAACATTAAAATAATAGGAATATTGAAATATGTTAATCCACATACAGGGTGCATGGAAATATGTCTCAAACAAATAAATAGGTACATGAATAAAGTAAGAACCTGTGAATCTTTCACTGGCCCGTGCCACAGGCATAAAAATGCAGACAACGACTTTTAAATAGAATAAAATGGGTTGTAAAATTGCAAAATTTTCATAATTCGATATGAAAAACTGGAAATATTCCGTTTTTAGCTATTGAAATTCACGAACCCTCCATTGCAGCTTCAGAAATTCAGTAGTAAAATAGCATGCAGAAACATGAAAAGTACACAAATCCATTCAACATTTTGTGCTCTCTTCGGATATGTAAATTCAAACATACGGTGCCTGGAATTTTTTTCTGACGGATATACAAAATTCGCTGGGGTAGCAGAGGGAAAACACGTCTACCAAATATCAAATAAATATACTAGGTGGTTCGTATGCTATGTGCCTTCAAAGAAATGACCAGAATCGATAAAACACCCTATATCTCGATAATGAAACATGTGTTCAGAAACAAATGGATCTATTTTAAACGCGGACTAATCAAAAATAAATAATGATTCACCTATTATAGGATCGTCTTGCCTCACGTGCTTCTTTATGGGTCGTCCGCAACAGTCCACTTCTTCGCAAATCTGGCCCTTGGCCCTTAACGGTAGGGTGATGTCGAGCCACCTTCCCAGCACAGGTTTCACTGCTCTCGATCTCACTGGATTCATGGGACGATATTACTTGGGAATTTGATTTTCAATGGAAATGATGAGGATGGATTATGGGTTGAAAGTATTGTCGACGATGTACTTGGGATTTGTGACAGCTGTGTTGTATGACAAATAATGACAGCTTGAAAATGTTACATGATACATGGTGTTCAATTTTTAGATCCCGCCAATTTTAGAAGTGTACCAGGTCAGTGGCGTGCCCAAGATTTTTTCCTGGAAAGGGGGGGGGGTTATCATCAGTTCAATCAATGAATCAATGGTTTTAACATTTTATTTTGAAAACACCCGGACTACAGGCTTACGGCTGCTAGCAACATTTAAATAAACTGAATGATAAATATAAAATTAAAAATTTCTTCAGTATCAACAAAAAGTCCATGAAACTTTGTCATACTAATTGAATTGAAATCTCACTTCGAAATGACAATGAATAAACTTCAGTAAGATAATACAAAAACGAGCACAAACAATAATATTGAGTGAAACATTACAGACAAAAATTAAATTTTCGCTCCTTTCATTTGCTCAAAAAATCTATGACCTCTTCAACACTTATTGGAATTTCTCAATGAATATTCAGAAGAGCTAGTCCATTGAGCCTTTGTTCTTTCATAGTATTTCTGAGGTAGGCTTTGAGCCATCTCATAGTGGAAAATGTCCTCTCATTTGAAGAGGTTGTCACTGTAAATGGTGTGTAAATATTGGGAAATAACTCACGATTTCTTTGGTTTATTTTCAATATATTTCAAAATGCTGTACCATAGTGTGACTTCTCCCAGAACAATATCAAAACTTAGAACTTCTAAAAAGTGTTCGTAGGCGGTATACTTATTCAATTTACCTATGTCTACTTTTATTTCATCTTTTGAGAGTAGTACATCAAAACTAGTCAAAATATCTTCATGTTTCAAAAATCGATCAACTAGAAGTGAAATAAATGTGTCTAAAAATGGAATAAATAAGATTCCTCGCCTATAATATGAATCAACACTGTAAATAATTTACTTCCAAAATAACGTTTGTTTTTTGCTGCTCTAGTGGAATGAATGAAGGTAAGATAAATACTACACTATAGCAATTAACTAATATAATACCTACCTACGAGCCCTTCAACGTCTTCTTACACCGTGTATACACCGTAGTATACACCGCGAACTCCTGAAATCGGGAACGAAGAGACTAGGACAAAGCTGGACGACGCGACAGCATGATAGCTACCGATAGGAAACGACGCTTCCAGATCTAAGAAATGTCGTGGAGTATTCTATCGGTCGGATCTTAGGGGGGAGGGGTTCAAACCCCAAAACCCCCCCTTGGGCACGCCACTGTACCAGGTCAAGCTATCCCAAGAGCCGGCTGCAAATTTTGACCGTCATCGGATAACGAAATTATATACAGGGTGTTGCGAAATTCGACCGACAACGCTTGACAGGTGATAGCCCTCGTGATTTCATAATCACTGAGATAGGGATATACGGTCTTGAAGTGTTCAGTTCTCGAGATACAGGGCGTTAAAGTTAAGAAATAAAAATAGTCGTTTCGCAATATCTCAAGAAACATTTAATATAATGCATTCAACTTCGGTATATGATTTCATCTTTGAATGGGTCATTTTTTGACTAGGAAGCCATTCCGGAAATTTTATCCAGTGGTGCCCTACAGGGAAGGTGTGGCAACTTTTCGTCCCATTTTTTCTACACCATCGATTGAATTTCAATTCCTCGAATTAATTGTTCAATTTTGTTCAAAATATGCATCACCTTCAACTGAGCTGAAATGAACAGTTTTCGAGATATTCGACCCAAAATAGAAGATTGCATAGTAATATTTCATCATTTTCAGTAGTAGGAAATCATATATTTTTCAGGTGTTGAGTAGATTAGATACTATTCAGATCTCATTCTGTAACTGAACAGAAATAGTTATTCCACGCATAAAGAGAAAACAAAAATTTTTGTAATCTTTTACTACTGAAAAAGATGAAAAATTACTATGCAAACTTCTATTTTGGGTCAAATATTTGGATAGCTGTTCATTTTAGCTCAGTTGAAGATGATGCAGTTTTTCAACATGATTGAACAATCAATTCGAGAAATTGGAAATAATCGAAATTTCATCAGTGGCGTATAAAATATGCGAGGAAGATTTATCACAACCCTCTGTAGTGCACCTCTGGGTAAAATTATCGGAATGTTTTTCTGCTTAAAAAATTAACCATTGAAAGATGAAACCATATACCGAATTTGAATGAATTATATTATATTTCTTGAGATATTGCGAAATTTTATTTTTAATTTCTCAACTTTAACGCCCTGTATCTCGAGAACTTTTTTTTTTTTTCATCTCTTGAAGCGCACGAAAGAGAATCCCTATAATGTTCAAAGAACATCGTGCGTTCCTAGGGAGGATGGGGATGGGAATACTTCCACAGGCAATGAATTCCAGAGCCTAGCCGTTCTATGGAAAACTGAACACTTCAAGACCGTATGTCCCTATCGCAACACCCTGTATATCCCAAACACATGTAGAACTTTTGTAGTGGCTGTGCATCAATATCCTGAGCAAAATGATTGAAAAATTGCACTTTTCTGTGCGGATATTTGCTCTCGATTTCGCGATTTTCTAACGAGATAAGAATTATGCCATCCGATACCTATTGAATGGTAGATTTGAAAAAACTACTTGTGCCACCCCTTAGGCTGAGCCAAATCCACGAAAGCGATTTATTTGCTGCTCTTATTCCGGACATACTTCCGTTATGTGATAACGAGTTGAAACAAGAAGCAAATAAAAGGGGATGATATCGCCTTTGCGAATATCCCCAAACATGTCGCTATTTAAACTGATCTAGATTAGTAATAGAGCGTCAATTCTTCCGAGAATATGTCGAAACGATTATATCTGATGGACCATTGTAAAACTCAATATGTGGATTAGAATACTTGTAGTGTGAGCACCACATGAGTTTCCCACTGGTCCATCGGATATTATCTTTCGACGAGGGCAAAATATTCACGGAGATATCGACGCTCTGCCACTTACTTAGATCAGTTTGAATCGCGGCACGTTTGAATTTTCGCAAAAGGAATATTTTTTCATTTCATATGCTTTTTGTTACAACTCATCACATGACGGAAGTATGTCCGGAATAAGAGGAGGAAATAAATCGCTGTGCCGTGGATTTGGCTCAGACTGAGGGGTGGCACAGGTAGTTTTTTGAAATCTACCATTCGATTGATATCGGATGGCATAATTCTTATCTCGTTATCAAATCGCGAAATCGAGTGCAAGTTTCCGCACAGCCAAGTGCAATTTTTCAAGCATTAAGCTCAGGATAGTGATTGCGACAGGTGCCGTTCGATGAACTACAATGTTCGTTATCATATGACTGTAGAAATCAGCAGCCGACTCTCCTACTAAGCGGTGTTCACAACCAAACTTTTCACATTTCGAATTCTGATTGGTGAAGCATAATTTGGAATTGAACGTGAATTGAACTGAAGCAAATGTCATTCTCAACAATAAAACGTCAACGTGAGTTCTACGACTTTTCTCAGTTGCCTCGGTTTTGTCACTTGTGCTCATCCTAAAATAAAGTTATCATATGTAATACCACAAGTGATACTATATTGCCGACAATATTCAGCGATTGTTACGACAGCTTGTTGCCTAATAATTTCGTCGAATAACATTGTTTATCAAAACTTTCGACAGCGTCATGAGCGAAATTAAAGCAGCAAGCTGGAGTATGTCAAGTGGCGAATATTTCCAGAAATAAATAGTATCACGAGTTGTACTCGTATGAGTATTCCATGATTGAGACAATAAACGAGCGGCTCGCGAGAGTTGCGCACACTGCATCATTCTGGCTTCCAACATAATTGAAGTTTTAAACGTCCAAAATTTTATCAACAGGAAATATACAAGACCTTTTTTTAACGGATAAATTTCTCTTGATAACGAAAAACATTTGCCAATCAGTAATTTTACGAGAAAAACTGACATAAAAAAAATTGTGGCTTCTCTATTGGTAAAGCAAATCCGAAAAAATTCAATGAAAAAATATCGCTGTAATGCGGAAGAAACCGTGAAAAGGGTCGATTCTGATTGGTTCTAGATAGGGTCCCTTGATGGAAATTGACGTTAAAGTCATCTTAAAAGGGTACGGACAGATCATAGCTGCATTCTTTTTTAATGATCTAGAGACTTTAGTTTTGTCTACTGGTATCCCTGACATTGATGTCATGTCACATCCATGGGCGCTACTGAAAATCATTCTAAATTTTAATAATAGGTATGTACAGGGTATTTACTTGTTGAGGAATATCATATGGCGAACGAATTCAAAATTGGAAGGTTTCTGGGGTTTGAGATAATGATTGTTCCGTCATACTTGCAAAATTCAAGATTACGGATCCAATATATACCGAAAGAAATTTCTAATTATGATCTGATTCCATTTAAGATTGGTATCTGGGGGTTTTCGAGGTTGAACTTTGATTTTTTGTCAAAATTGGGAATTTCAAGATAGTGTATCCAATATGGCGAACGAATTTTGTAATTATAATCGGATTCTATTCAAAAATCAAAATTGGCATATTGGGATTTCGTGGGTCGGAGATTATAATTATCTCGTCTTTCGTTACTTTCATCAATAAATTATTCGAAAATGACTTGTTATTCAAGGGAGACGGAAAAATCAGTAAGGTATATTCTATTCTTCATTTTCCTACACATTTTACTTTTTAGCAGCCTACTTTTCGTCCTAGACGAAGTTTTATACATAGTGTGATATTAGTAACTCCATAGATTCTTCTCAGAGTTGGATTTCCGAAAATATATTTAGCACACATGACATGAGTACATTAGTTTTGTTACCTACATCGAGGTTTCCACCATTTCTCAATCATAATAAGGCTATCTGCTCATTT